AGGCTGGATCGGACATCCTCGCAGCAGATCGGGGAAATCGAGTCCAGTCCACCATCCTCAGAGGAAATGGTCAAGCGGCTCAGCAGACGCTATCATCGAGTTTCACAAGGTAAACCCTTCAAGCGGCTGGAAGGGAGGTTCAGATTTCTCGCTTCTCAAGGGCCGGCATGGCAGCAGTGCGACTCTGTGATAAGACACCCGGAGGGACCCATTGGGGAAAGGCCACGATCTGAGACCAAGTCTGGGCGATACAGCTCGCTAGCACTACTAGCCCTCGACACCTTCCCAGTTCCCCCTGGTGTCTGTTTACTTCTCCCACAGGGTCTCAGATCCCCTTCCCCGAGAATCCGAAAACCCGGTCCAGTGCTTGAGTGTGCTACACCGCCCTCTGCCGCTCCACACTCAAACCACCCCCACGATACCTTCATTTCTGATGTTTTCTTTTTTGTCTTCATTTTGCCCTCCCCTTACCCAGTAGACTTGCAATATCCCCCCCGCAGTCCTTTCTCACCGCCCATCGACCCTTCCGCCGAGAGCCGCTACTCGAAGGCTGTTGACTGTCCCTCTGAGACAGACGATATTGAAGGACCCATAGGAAAACCATCCGCCGAGCTGCCTGCATGTTGTTTCACGGCCTTTTGCTGTGCAGCGTTCCATCCTGTGGAAGTTTGTCGAGACAACAGGCGAGCACTGTTGCTTCTCAGTCTTGTCTCGCTCCTGCGCCTTTGATTAAACGAGGCAGCAAGGCTTCGAACAGAGAGATGGTTGGGCTGAAAGCCGGCCAAGTAATCTGACCACCGCCGTGATCGGACTCGTGATCGGACTCGTGATCGGACTCATGAAGGGAGTTTGAGGTGATGCAGACCCCCTTCCCAATCGACAGATAGGTACATAGAGAAGAAGAAAAAAAAAGGGGGGGGAGGAGGGGACAAAGACAAAGTATACAAAGTGACGACCAGAACAATAAGATCGATGCAGCCGCCCCGTGTGGACGGCGCCCGATTCCAGCATGCCGACGACGCTCGGCACTTGGAGGTTTGGTCCTTCGTCCGGCCGCTAAGAGCTCTCCCCCCCAAGCTTGATGCATGTTCCCGGCTCAACGGTCCTCGACACAAGTGATTGGTCGAGACCGGCTCTGGGTTCCGCATGGTCCGTGCACGAGCTTGTATCAAAAAGCCACGAGAAATTTCTGCAGCGAAAAGCAAACCTCGTAACAACAAACATCAACAAACAACAAACTTCGCAATAGAGGTTCAGGGGATTTGTTCCATCCTCGTCGTTGTTGTTGGTGTCAAGTAACCACATGGTAAGTCTCCAAGTCTCCTTTCCTCAGCAACCTTCTTTCCTGTGACGACGGGAGCTCTTATGATGAGAGTAATTTGCGATTGAGTTCGTGGGATGGCTCGCTCGCCTGCGATGCTATATCTTGCGTTTCAATGAAAGTCATTTCTTACATATTCTGAACTTGACTCCCGATCGTCACTTTTGCACTTCTTCATCCACCGGCCCTCGGACTGGTGGCATAAAACGAGAGCATAATTGCTGACATTGGACGTGACAGATAATCCGAGTTGCCTGAAGTTCTTCGCACGTGTGCAGTTCTGACGTTGGGTCGGTGTGTTGCGGAGGCCGACGGACGGACGTGGACGGATTGCTATCACAACCAGGCGTGATCTTTGCACTTTGATCATCGCATGGTGTTGAGAGGCTATACTCTGTGCCCCACGAAATTTTTCCATCGTCCGTTTCGTATTTTGATGTGGACCTTTTCCCATTTCATAGCATCTTTCAAATTTAGTACTCAATCAATATGATCTCAAGAAAAAATGATGTCAATTCGATTTCCCTCGAATCTATCCTCTAAACGCCATGCTCCACATTCCCAAACACAATATGTTCATGATGGGTATCCCGTCATCGATCAGGTCAAAAGTGAAGCGTCCTCCCCTTAGTGCTTTCCGGGCAGGGTGTCGCCCTTCTTCTTGAGCGTAGCCTCCTCCTCGGCCTGGATCTCAGCGTCGATCTTGGCGCCTTTAGAGGGCTCGTTGCCGTGTGCCTTGGCCTACTATCTGTTAGCATCAAGTCCTGTATAGAGCTGTAGATGTTGGCATTGTACATACGGGCAATACGGGGTTCTCCTTGGACAGGCGGGTCTCCTTGTCGTCTTGTGGCTCGCTCTTGTGCTCCTCAGCAGCCAGACGGTTTGCGATGGATCGCTGGTCCTCTGTGATAATGTTAGCATACTGAATCCTCGTGTCGCCGTAAGCCAACCCCCGGAGAAATCGTGGTGTAGCTTACTGGAGTCGGTGGTCTGGTGAGAGTTCTCCTTGCCCTCCTCGTAGCGCTCAGCGTGGGGGAGCTCAGAGTTCTTGGGGTTGCGCTGGTCTCCAGCACCGTGGATGCCAACGTTACCGACTGAAGTGTTTGCAGACATGTTGTTTGAGTTTTGAGATGGAGAGGTAGTTGTCTTTGAAGATGGCTGTTCGTTCTAGTTGATGAAGGAGGTAGATGAAGATGAGATGAGTGAATGAAGCAAAACAAATTCTATTTCACATTGAGTGTGCGGTGCCATTGATATACCTTCGAAAATACTAAAAGATTACACCTTCTACGATATACGTCATTGCTCCGTCTGACCAACAGCTTTGCTCACCCTCCGTCATCGAAGATCATTGCCGTCAAGGCTGTTGCGAAAAGGTGGTGCTGGACCTGCAGAAATGGAGATTTTGAATGGGGGATGGGGATTTACGTCATATTGGGGTGGTCCTTCGAGAAGGGAGCTTTGGTACCTCTAGTCGATCGAGCCTCGATGACGGCTGATACAGAGAACCATCCTTGGAAGTCCTGAGGTCATTACATGATAATGCTTCTAATCACCTACCTACCTACCTACCTACCTACCTAGGCACCCCGTCGCGTCTTATGTAGGTGAAACTGGAAAGACTAGGTTGAGTAGAGGTTTCAGCAAGAGCAACAAACGATATTTGGCACCAATGATTACACCCATTTCTCGTTTCAAGGCCCTGGGCGGGACATATTGATTCAGAATCATTTCTAGTGTACAACTACATAGCAAAATAGCACGTGAGGCTCTGCCCGTTGAAGACGTCACCAGTGGTAACCCAGGCGGGAGGGGTATCCACCAGGCAGCCCTGTAAACTCAAAAGCTTCAGGGGTGGCCGCCGCGGGGTAGCTTGAGCTTCAGGCCCCCTGCATATCCGCAATATTGTGATTGGGCAGCCCTGGAGACCGCCCCGCCAAGGCTGAGGACGAAATTTCCGTCTATCCAGCTTCAACCTCAAGCTCGCCGCAAGCCGGTGCAAGCCTCGTCACGCCGCGCCTGATCAACGACCTCCTCCCCATACAGACACGAGATAAAGAACTACAGGAAGAGAGAGAATCCAACCATCAATAATCTTGGCTAAACAAAGCCTCACTCCACATAAAATGGCGTCAGCAACGACCTTCACGCCGCAGACCTTCTCCAAACTTTCGCCCCACCCCTTCCTCCTGGCCAACCTCCAACCCCCGACCGATGCCCCCTCCGCAAAGCCAACACGAACAAATGGCCGGGCGCCACACCAGGCCCGGCCCGTACACATCAACGCCTCGTCCCTGTCCCACGCCCACGGCAGCGCCATGGTGCGCGTGGGCGACACGAGCGTGATCTGCGGCGTGCGCGGCGAGATACTACCCGTGTCCGCCGTGCCGCAGTGGCGAGAGCCCAGGAGCAAGGCCGAACTAGAGATCCTGGGGGGCGAGGAGCGGGCGAGGGCGGAGAGGGAGGATGGAGCGAGGGAGCTGCGGGACTACGACCTGCTCGTGCCCAACATCGAGCTCGCGACGGGCTGCGCCCCGCAGTTCCTGCCCGGCGTGCCGCCCACGACGCTCGCGCAGACGCTCAGCACGAGGGTATACTCGCTTCTCCACAGCGCGGACCTGCTGGACGTGGGGGACCTTAGGGTATGGCACACGCCCCCGAGGCTTGACGACGACGAGAAGATGGGAGGTGAAGTAGAAGAGGCAGATGATGCGGTGCTCAAGCCGGAGATCAAGGCGTACTGGACGCTGTACATCGACGTGCTGTTCATATCGTTCGACGGCAACCCCTTCGACGCGGCATGGGTGGCCATCCTCGCCGCGCTGAGGGACACGAAGCTGCCCAGGGCCTGGTGGGACGCCGACAGGGAGATGGTGTTGTGCTCGCGGTCCGAGACCAGGCCCTTGAGTGTCAGCGGGCTGCCTATCGCGTGTACGGCGGCCGTGCTGAATGAGAAGGAGACGGAGACTGCTGGCCAGGGCAAGTCATGGGCGCTGGTGGACCCGGACAGGCTGGAAGAGGGCTTGTGTGAGGAGAGTATCACGGTTGTGGTGGACAAGACTAACGGCGACGCGAGGATACGGGGTATCTCGAAGAGTGGTGGTAGGGTCCTGGGGCCGAAGGAGATACGGGAGATGTTGCAGATTGCAGAGGGCAGGTGGGTGGAGTTCCGGACAGCGCTGGCGGCTTGAGCCGGGAGCGGTTCTCTCGACTGCTGCCCGTCCTCGACTACAAATCTGGAGGTGATGGGGACGCACAGGGGCCAAAAGATAGATATTTCGAGCAAAGGTCGCCCTATGGTACTTTCGCAGATAATGATACCCAAAAGCAAATTACTTCTTGGCTTGATACTGTGACCAATGCTCCTTTACACTACTACATCTAGAAAAACATGTATTCTCCTGCTGGGGGGCTCAACCCACCACATCGACTGATGATCGAAGGATTCCCTTCACTACGGCCTCCAAACCCTCAAGCTGTATCATATGTCCTTGCATTGAACTCTTACCTGCAAGACTAACCCACATATCGGGCCATGATGCAAGAGGGTGGTTCTATGTTTGCACGTTGGAATGTAAGGCGACTGACTCTCTGAGTTGTAGATTGTGTATATGGCGATAAGGGTTGTTCCAAAGGGTCTACAAAAAGATAGAAACCTGAACAAGACAGAAATTGAGATTGGAGAGACCATGGTTCGAACATGGGACCGCCGTCACCAAGGATCCCACACATCTTGCTTGCCCTTTCAGTTTGCAAGAACGGGTTCACCTTGGGATATGCCGCTCTACCAGCTGAGCTACCTCCCGATTTCTTCTGTTAATTCAGGGTTGTCAGCGGCGACCTATAGCTCAACATCTGGACCGTCCTGCATACACCTTTTCCAGAAGTCGCTAACAACAACAGCTACTTCAGTACCCTTGGCCATGGCAACCTCGTGGGCAGCATCCAGCAGCTCTACTTCAAATGCATCCTTACCCAAAGTCGCATCCAAGTCTGGGAGTATCTGCTCTGCCTTCACAACCATGTCCGAAGAACCCAGGACGAGCAAGATCTTCCCAGCGAATAATCCAGGCAGGGAAGCATCTCGCCGCCTTTCTGACAGCAGGAAGCCTAGCCTTCTCCATTCCTCATATCGTTCATATATGGGCCCGTAACGCATGGCGCTCATTACTGCTGGTATGAAACCCTCATGATAGCGGAGCTGCCACGACACTACCGACGCCACTGTGACGTCTGGTCGATCAGGTGATAGGATGGTGTCGTCGAAAGAATTACCAGTGAGCTTCAAGTTGCTCACCCGACCAGGCTCCACCTTCTGTGCTACTGCCGAGGCATCATCGACAGGACCATTCACAGCTGTCATATATACGGGCTCATACCGCCGCCTGACGAGAAACTGTAACAGTCTTTCGGGGACCAGCCCCCTTGAGTAAAGCAGCCAAGTCTTCCAGCTGTTACTGCTCCGCTTAACAAGCCCACTGGGGGCAACAGCCGTCACGGACCGTATCAGGTGTGGGAAGCAGCCCGCGAAGTTGACAGCCAGTCCTCCGCCAAAGGAGTACCCGATGATATGAAAGCCTGCGTTGTTCCCGCGCCCGGCGTTGCCCAGCCAGCCCACGTTGGAGCTCGTCACGGCCAGCATTATCTGGCTGGCGTACAGTCTCTCGTCATGCTTCACCACCTCAGGGTTCGGTGCGTCTGACCAGCCACGTCCAAAGTAGTCGAAGAGCATGACACGGTAGCCTTTCTGGGCGAGGGTATTGGCAAGGTTCGAGAGGGCCAGGCAGGGCGTTGACAGCCCTGGCAGGAGTAACACCCTCTCGCCGGATGCTGGACCGAACTCGAACACCTTGATAGTGCCATAGGGGGTGGGGACGTCACGGCTACCAGGCAGCGCGTCGGGAGGATACGGCAGTGCTGAGATCTCGGAGTGGGAGATGTATGGCAGGAGTGTCTCTCTGGGCGAAGGGGTAACACTTGGTGGTTTCGATGAGAACGACTTGTGCCAGAGAGGCCACGAGACGACAGCTGCGGACAAACATATAATGCCGGTACTGAGCAAGGGTCTGGTGGTGAGGCTATCCATTTTTAAGATAGAAGGCTCCCCCGTATGTACACGTGCGGACACTTCACAAAGAGGCGCGAGATAGACGGAGAAACAGACGCACTCATGGGCCCAGCATCATCCCGGATGCGACCTATTTGGAGATGTTTACGGTATGTGGGGCTATTATGGCCTCCTGTCCTGACTGAGGTGCAAGGGGAATCACATCAACACCGTTTGAGGGTTGAGTTGGGTTGTCTCCGCCATTCGAACCGCTCTGTCACGTTGAAAATCAAGAGCAGTAGATACAGGAGGATATTTCGGTCTACCGCTCAACATGAAGCCGCCTAATGAAAGGAAAACTCGGTAGCTGATTGACTGTGGATGGTATACGTAGGCAACTGTACCTGGTTGAGCGGATGTTGGAGAAAAGAAGAAATCCGGGAGAAAACCCGCAGCAATCGGCGACAGATTTTGTCACAGCAGCCAGCGGCTCTGCGGTGGGCCCCGCTCTGGCGCGGAAAATTAGGCGCTCCGACCTGGCGGACTTTCAAAGGCTGTGTGAGCTCCCCCCGCCAAAGCTTCCGACCGAAGCTCAAATTTCAACGTCGCGTCTCCTTTCATTTCTAACCACCATTTCTCCCACGATGGAGTCGCTGAGCGAAACAACCTGGGATGTGATCATCTGCGGCACAGGCCTGCAGCAATCACTCCTGGCATTGTCAGTTCTTCCTCTTGAAACACCATCTACTCAGCCTGAAGCCCATCTAACTAACCTAGTCATCTTCCTCAATGAAGAGCCCTCTCCCGGTCCGACAAGAAAATCCTTCACCTAGACCCCAATGAATACTACGGCGGCGCAGAGGCAGCCTTCAGCCTGCAAGAAGCCGATGCTTGGGCCTCAGAGATTGCCAAAGCACCCGCGTCTTCCATCTTCAGCTCCGCCGCCCTGACGAGCAGGCCGGCGGCAGACGGTGCGGATCCGGACGTCAAGCTGTCCTCCCCGCGCTCCTACGCCCTCTCCCTCTCCCCGCAGCTGATCCACGCCGGCTCCAAGCTCCTCTCCCAGCTCGTGTCCTCCCGCGCCTACCGGCAGCTGGAGTTTCTGGCCGTCGGGTCCTTCTTCGTCTACAAGCCGTCGTCCTCAGACCCGTCCGTGGGGCCGACGCTTGCACGTATCCCGTCTACCCGCGAGGATGTCTTCTCCTCCACGGACCTCCCGGCCCGTGCGAAGCGACAGCTCATGAAGTTCTTGAAGCTCGTTCTCTCGTACCAGGAGGAGACCTCTCTGCCACAATGGCAGGAGTACTCGGACAGGCCGCTGGTTGAGTTCTTGACGGAGAAGATGGGCCTCGATGCGGACTTGAGGATATACATCACGACTTTGACCCTGTCCCTTGATGGGCAGGTCAGCACGAAAGTCGGTCTGGCAACGATACATCGGCATCTGAGGTCGATGGGCATGTTCGGCCCCGGCTTTGCTGCGGTGTACCCCAAGTGGGGTGGAGGCTCGGAGATCGCGCAGGTCGCATGTCGGGCTGGAGCAGTAGGCGGCGGCATCTACATGCTCGGAACAGGTATCAAGGAGGTGAGAGGCGACGGCTCTGGAGAGGAGGTAGAAGTGGAGCTGTCGGATGGCACGGTCGTCAAGACCAAATCGCTAGTCCGGGGATCTGAAGAGGTCCCTGCTGGTCCCGACACCAAGGTGAGCAGGCTGATCGCCATCATCGGGTCACCACTCCCTTCGCTGTTCGAAACGACCATGGAAGGAGCGCCGACGCCTGCTGTGGCTGTGGTCGCACTACCAATCGGTTCTGTAAAGACGGATGATGGGATCGAGTCGAAACACCCGATCTACGCCATCGTGCATTCGAGTGATACGGGTGAATGCCCCTCAGGACAAAGTAAGTTGCTACCCTCCTCTTCTGATTCCTATACACCGTTTTTGTATGATGATACAACTTCAAAATCTTATCTACATTGCCTGAGCTACGGCTTTGACGTCAACTTATACTCTGACAAAACACAACCCATACACTTTCATCTCCCAACATCTCTCAGCTATGGCAGACCATACTGACCCTCGTGGAACAGGCATACTATACCTCAGCACTATCACCACCCCTGAGTCTAAGTCGCTTCTCGAAAGCAGTGTAGACGCGTTGCTTGCCGCTGTTGACACCAAAGACGTCCCCAAGCCCCATGTGCTCTATCGCTTATACTACGAGCAACGATGCAACGATGATCTTGCGTTGGCAGGCGAACAGCGGATATTCCAGTTCCCGCCACCGCCTGCAGCCCTGACCTTCGACGATGCCTCGCTCGAAACTGTGTATGAAGCTTGGAAGCAGGTCATCGGTGGCGATGATACCCCAGAGGAGACTGTGGCCGAGTATATGGTCTTTGCAGACCGTGAGGGCGTTGCTGATGACGATGATTACGAGTAAAGTAGGCGAGCCTTCTCTGTCTAGTTGCTCCCATAGTTCACGATTTGCACGAGTGTATGAATTCAAATGAGAAGCCATATTAATTGATTTTGACTATGGGCTTGACCCTATGTATCCATCTTTGCATCATGCTTGGATTTTCCTATGTTATCATTGCTCCAAACTGATGCTGATATCGTTCCCCACTGAGCAAGAGCGAATGCCAGATATGGCATGATTTTGTGTGCCGAAAAAAAACGCCGTTTTGATAGAAAACAACAATGAGGAGCAAATACCGAGGAGAGACTCCCAAGATCCCCAAGCATGCTGTCCACCACGATTATTATTTGTTGGAAAAGCAAGATGCTGCCCGCCGCAAAAGTACCAAAAAGAAAGAAGAAAGATAAAACAAGTCGAAATATCAGCCCAACCACTCGTAGATATCGAGATAATTCGCCGCTCACACCGTGTCGATCTGCCATAGGTCAGGTCCCTCTCGCGAAAGTCGAGATCAAGTTGTCGAGAAGGGGATTGCCGCTACGTTCCAGTGCGCGCCATTGGGCCGCCGTGTCGTCGCCGTTGAGGTCTCGCCCCAAGATGACCATCATCGTGCTGAATATCCCCGGCGCCCGTCTTGCAACTCATGGGAGGGGACCACGACAGGATGGTCGGGCCAGGTCTTTTGGAGTCGTTCAAAGACCTAATGTTCGGTCTCCTCCACACCCTCCATCTGCTCAGGCGCACTCTCATAGTGCTCCTCAAACGGGACTGTCACACCGACGTGAATCTCCCCAAAAGGAATCTTCTCCTTCGAGCCGTCCTGCTCGACCATGATCTGGCCCTTTGTAGCCAGCGTCAGGACATGCAAGAAAGCCTGCGCCACAACAAGCTTCGTCCTGTCCTGCGGCTCAAATAGGCCATCAAATGTCACCCATCGTCGGTTCTCCTCAATCTCATCGTCATCCCCACGATCGGCGGCGACACGTTCCACAAACCCCAGAAAGTTACGGCCCTCGCGATCGAGAGCGTCGTGCATCACCTGGCTCGTGTTGGCCTCCTGCGTAGGGGCCCCGGTGGCAGCGCCGAGATCGCTCACAAAGCTGAGACCCTGGTCATCGTCAGGGAGCGGACCGAAGCCGTCGGAACCGAAAGCTGGCATGTTGCCATCGCTGAACTTGGGGTCGGCGGGGAGATTGCCACTGCGGCCTACGAGGGGGCTGCTCTCGACACGATGACGGCCACCCTCGGTTGCCTTCCGACTGTGAGTGGAAGATGGGACGACAGAAGAAGGACGGTTCCACGGAGCGTTAGAAGAGCGGCGGTGGTCGGACATGG